CTGTACCAAAATTGAAATTATACTGTCTTTTGGGTCAATCAGTAATGTGCCTTCTAGCGTAGCTGAGGTGGATTGAAAATGAATTTCGATCTGCAATTTCAATCCGATGTTTTCCACACGTCCGCGTCGAATTGTAGCGCAGCTGAGTTGGATTGAAAATGAATTTGGATCTGCAATTTCAATCCGATGTTTTCCAAACGTTCGCGTCGAATTGTACCCGCCCATTATGCTGTCTATCACTGAGTGTTTTGATTGTAACAGATAGAAATGACGTACGCTGTATATTTCCAATTTTGCCAGTTAATGTTCCGCGGTCTTAACTATCCGTATCCGTATAGGTATCGAAGTATGATATGCATCTCAATCCCGATGACTAAACCATCTGGTTACATTTCCATCGTTTCATGTTTTCTTTTTAACCTCATTTACTAAGAAATGATATGTAGTGTGATATTTTTAATTAAAACATATCAGTTGTTGTATACGCCTTATGCATAATTTTTTTTTGGGGGGGGGGGGGGACGGGGGGGGGGGAGTTTGAAAATAAAATTAGAAAAACAAGCATGATTTTTTTTTATTTAAATGTGTAGAAAATTGTACGAAAATCTCTCTCTCTCCATCCCCCCCCTCTCTCTCTCTCTCTCTTAGGTTATTCATTTTTCATTCTCAAATTAACATTTACAAGAATTTTACACCACATATCCCCAATAATATTTAGTAATATATACAGTTAGACCTCGTAATCTCAAACTTGTAAATTAATTGTAAATTTATACATGTAGTTGTACATTAACTGGGTAAAGATTTAACCATAGTGCAAAACAAATGTGTATGTGGGATTCAGTGAAATGTCCATCCTCTTTTCCTTTCTGAACATGGTACATTTTTAAACAGGTTTTTCTAATTTTTTTTCTATCTCTGGGTCTTCTCTCCATGATTTTGTGTGTATTTAAATTCAAAGAAACAAACTCACTTTTTTTAAAAAATGGAGAGAAGACCCAGAGACCACGTAAAATGAACTTCCCCCCCCCCCCAAAAAAAAACCAAATGTGTGAATGTGGTGCTTCTTTGTCCTTTTAAAATTATCTGCGTATGTGTAGCGGTGGTAACTCAGTAAGTTGGGCTACATGCTCAGAGCACTGGAATCGAAAAGATCTTGGATTCAGCCTGAAATGGGGCATTAATTTTTTTTTTCATGCCATTTTTTTTATTATACCATTTACATGTATTTTATCTGTTTCGTTTTATGTACTGATGTATTTAAATTTTGAATTAGATATATTTTGGTTCATTTTAGTTCTTGGGCGAAATCAATATTTCAATCAGACAGGTGCCCTATTTTCTCACAAATTTCCAAGAGAGAACATTCGTTAAATGTGCACACGGTTTACTTAAAAACACATTTTTAAACAAAATTGAAGAATTGAAAAACTTGCTTAATGTATGACGAAACATTGATGCTCTTATTATAGTTGAAAAATATAATTAATGATAAAAAATTAGGAATCCAAGAAAAGGGTGTCATTTAATTAGGATAAAGAGAAGTAAATGCTGCAAACATGTTTTATTAGTTTCAGGTATTTAAAGAGGTCAATTAAAACATGAACATACATCCAAATAAAGTACAAGCAATAGTAAGTTTTATCTTCAAATTGCATAAAGGAAAGTTGAATAGATTTTTTGCAAAGGAAGTCCAAAATTCGGTGACCATGGTATTTTTCCTGTGCTTAACAACGCAGCTGGATATACTCTTAGAGAAAAAATAAAATTTTGAAGAAAAGAAAGTATACATGACTTTTCAATGACCCATATTAGTTTAATCGCAGCCACTGTGGGATCTGTTTGTCCCCAAAACACATGAAAACAATCAAAGGAAGATTGTACAATGTTAGATATGTCATGTGAAATGAGATTCCTCAGTGCCTTTGGGGCACCCCTAAAGATGAGTATGCTGAGGATTTCTGTTCATAGATTCAGAGACTTGAGACACATGTAACTGGTAACAGGGAATGCCTTTAGGGATTGAAACTATTAAGAATATATATTACGTACTTTTCTTACTTTTAGATGACATGTTGCATTATTTATTGAACGACCCTCGTATAATGTACATGTACACGTACCATGCATCTATATGCATTAAATATTTTAGGTGTTTATTTTTTGTGAAACATTACTACCCTTACCTCCTAGGAAAAACAGACAAAAATGTTACATTCTCACACTTTCAAACTAAATGAAAAAAAAACTATGGACGTGTTTGTAAAATTTGACCAGCTATGTTCAGCCAACCAAATCATGGACATTTAAACCATAAATGTTTCGTACAAATGATTCCTGCAGATCACACGCCAAATGTGCCCATCTTCTTTCAGGTATTTGTGAACCAGATTTGCAAGTTAAAAAAAACTGCAGTATTTCACTTTCTGTGGCATCCATGGCCATAAAACCGTCAGCTCTGTATCTAAAGTGAGCCAGAATTTTGTTTTTATGATTGTATTTTTTGATGATATTTTCAAGGATATCAAAAAGGAGCAGATGACATATCTCGGGGGACGAGACTGTCCCATGCTGGCTCCTAGTATTTGTTTATACAGTTGACCATTGAATTCAAATTCATTGTTTTCTAACAGAATTTGTATTAATTTGGTTAGGTAACTGATATCTAGGATTGGTATTGTAACATCAGTTTGTTTCAATTTTGTGAGTGCTTTTGTTGCAGATTGGATGAGTTCCGTGGCTGTCATGTTAGTATACATGGAAGTTACATCGTAGGTAACTAGCCAGGTTTCGGGTTTCAAATGTAGGGATTCAACTGATAAAGTCTTTGGTATCTCTGACATATGTGTGTTTTGTTTTTGTACTACTGGTACTAGGAAGTAGTGTATGAAATTCCCTATAGGCATTGTAGGGGAGGAGCATTGGGAGATAATTGGCCTCCCCAGTATAATCATTTCACGCTGCAGGGCTTCGACCCCTTTGAAGTTTTCAATGTCAAAGATGCAGATTTCATGTATTTTAGATAGTAAGTATAATCTGTCAGGACGGAATGTAAGGGACTGCGACAGAAATCTGTGAGTAATACTGTCGACTTCAGAATTTATTTGCATTTCACATATAATCTTGTTGATCAGATCGTGTATTTCTTGTGTTCTGTCTTTGTGAATTGCGGCGTAATGAATGCCGTCATTTAATTGTCTTAGTCCCTCCGCTACATAATTTGTGCGGTTCTGAACTACAACACTAGTAGATTTGTCTGCCTTTTTTATTATAATCATTGACTAGTTGCGAAGATTGGTCAGCGCATTCCGCTCTTTTTTGTTAAATTATCTCTAAATTTGTGAAAAAGGATATTACACTGCTCCATTTTGGTTGCATAGAGATAATTTTCTAAAGCTGTGCATGGTGTGTTGCCGGGATTGTGGTTGGTATTGATATACAAGGGATGCAATTGTTTACTGTATATCACTTAATTTTCGCAACACCTTATTTTCCTGAGATAGTCTTGACTCTTTATTAGCGAGATAAAATTTTCACGAATCGTGGTCATTTCTCTATATAATCTTAAGGAATTCTTATATACGCCGGAATGAAAATTTCGCGAGCATACCGTCTCGCGTAATTACGCGAAAATATGATTATCGCGAATAAAAAGTGATTTACAATGTCATCCTCATTTGTATCTTGCATTTCCTTGCTAGTTCATTGAAGCAATAGATATCAAATTCTGTCTTTTATTTTGCGTCCCTGGTGTGGGAATAAATTTGAGACCTTTGCTAAGTAAGGATATTTCAGCTTCAGACAGAGTGTAATCTGAGATATTGAGAACATTGTTATAAGTGTTCTCTGGCGTTTTATTAAAATTAAGTGCGTACTGATTTTTCTATATACTGTCAAGAATTTGTGTTATAGACAAGCGTCTGGATGATCGAGACTACAAATAATGACGAAAAAGTAGTAGCATATAATGAAAAGTAGTATAATGAAAAGTAGTATAATGACAAAATATCATTATATAATGACAAAGTACCATCATATAATGACAAAACACCATCATATAATGATAAAATACCAGCATATAATGATAAAATACCAGCATATAATGATAAAATACCATCATATAATGACAAAATACTATCATATATTGACAAAATACCATCCAATCATATAATGATAATATACCATCGTATAATGATAAAATACCAGCATATAATGACAAAATACCAGTATATAATGATAAAATACCTTCATATAATGACAAAGTACCATCATATAATGATAAACTATCATCATATAATGACAAAATACCATCATATAATGATAAAATACCATCATATAATGACAAACTACCAGCATGTAATGAAAGTTCTCCACATAAGGCAGTTACGGCGTTCCATACTTTCCTAGGATACCGACAACTTTGATCCCTTGGTCTTTACGTTTGACTTATACTTTTAAAAATGTATAACGGTACCTTGGCCATAACTTTTGAACAGGGTGCGCAAGTGTTTTCAAATTGTATTTCTTTATGAAAGGTATTACTTTGGGTACAACTTATTTGATTTGAGTGTGAGAAAGTTTATCCTCTGCTGTGTTGCCATATGGGGCATCAATGTTTTACGAACACATCTTTTCTAAATACTCGTAATTCATTTGTAAATACATGTACTATTGAGAATAAATGTTGATTTTATTTACATTTAAGACATACTGCATCGAAAGATGGATCCCCGTACCAGTGCCCTGGACTTGATACGATGTGACCTGTGTGGGACCGCTGTGGTACAGATGCACTGTGATACATGTCTTGTCAACCTGTGTAAGGCCTGTGTAAGAATACACATGCAATCTGATGAATCCAAAGACCATAAATTCGTCAAATTTCAGTTCAGGAAATCTACCCTCATCTACCCTGGATGTAAATATCATAGCAAACAGCAATGTACAATGTACTGTAATCAATGTGACATTCCTGTTTGTACAAAGTGTCTTGCATCTGATCAACACCTGGGTCATAGTAATAAGTTATCAGAAATCTTAAAGATAGTGGATGATAAAAAGAGCAAAATCATCAAAGATCAAATTGAATTAAAGGAGAAAATTTATCCCACCTATCAGGACATTGCCTCTGATGTACAAAAAAGAATGAGTCAGTTAAAAAAGGAACATGGAGATCTCTCAACAACCATAACAAAACATGGAGAGGACTGGCACAGAGAAATTGAAAAAATTGTCATGAAACTTAAAGATGAAGTTGATGAGATGAAAAACACACAGTTACAAACTCTACAAAAACATCTGGTTGAAATAAATGACAGCCTTTCTGAAATCAAGGATGTAATCAATTCAGTTGAAATGGCTTTAGACACAAATGACACGTCAAAACTGTTCGCTGTTAAGTTAAATTTAGACAGATATAGAAAGCTTCCACAAAAGGTTCTGCCTTCAAATCTGAAATTCTTGCTAGAGAAAATTCAACGAAAAGAACTCAGTAATCTGTTTGGAACTTTATTATCAAGTTCTTTAACTTCAGATGAACATGGTTACAGCATGAAGACAACACAGAAATCACCAGAAACTGGATCCTCTCCTCCAGTCAAACAGCTGCTTGATGAACTAGAGACAGTCATCACCATAGAAACTGGGTATGGAAGCCTTGACAATGTGGCCTGTCTGAGTGATGAAGAAATCTTGATGAGTGGAAATGACGAAACTATGAAAATCTACAATATCAATCAGGGATCACTACTCAAGTCAATCACAACCAAGTCAGGGTACAAACCATCTGACATAGCAGTGACAAAAAGTGGAGATCTAGTTTATACTGATGACAGTGATAGAACTGTGAACATTATAAAGAATGAGAAGATAGAGAAGGTGATCAGATTACAGAACTGGAGACCTGACGGTGTCTGTTGTACCTCCTCTGATGACCTCCTGGTTATCATGGAAAGTGATGATAAACAAACAAAAGTTGTCCGTTACTCTGGCTCCACAGAGAAACAAACCATTCAGTTTGATGATCAAGGTAAACCTCTCTATTCATTTGGTAAATATAACACATACTACATTACTGAGAACAGGAACCTGGATATCTGTGTGTCTGACTATATAGCTAAAGCAGTAGTGGTGGTCAATCAGGCCGGGAAATTGAGATTCAGGTACACTGGACATACTCCTGCTCCAAAGAACAGACCATTCAATCCGCTAGGAATCACCACAGACAGTCAGAGTCACATCCTTACAGCTGATCCTAAAAATGACTGTGTCCACATCATAGACCAGGATGGACAGTTCCTCCGTTACATAGACTGTGGACTGAGTTATCCCTGGGGACTGTGTATAGATACAAATGACAGTCTGTTTGTTGCTCAGATGGAAAACAGACAATTGAAGAAAATCAAATATCTGAAGTGAATTCTGCTTATGTACTGTAGTGAAGCATTTTAATATGGTAATTCACAGTTGAACATTTACAGTTTGTTTTTATAACTATATCTCGTTCAAGCTAAATTAAATGATGATTGTGAATGTTCAGCTGAAATCAAAGTATAATAATATTTCATATACTGAAAAAGTGTATTATTCTATTGTAATCTTATTGAACAACAAATTAATGAAGCTTTCTAAAATGATAATATATTCATGAGGGTTTTTGTGTTCTATAACAAGACTTCATTTAATCCAATATGTTCTATAACAAGACTTCATTTAATCCAATATATTGCTTAAATAGAAAAGATATCCACAAAAAGAAAAACATAATGTACTATAAACTTAAATAGTCTGCAATATATAAATAAAAACTTTGAACTGTTGTTTGAGCTATTATAAATATGTTCTTTGGGAGAAACGGTTTTACTATTTCTCTTTTTTTATACTTAAATCTAATTACTAGTATTTACCAATTAACAATATATCAATTGAATATAATTACTGTATTTTAAAAAAAAAACATTTTAGAAGTATGAAAAAATAAAAATATTTTATTTTCCAATGAAACAGCGATTTTAAAGCTTTCAAATCAGAAGTTAAATATATATATAATTACTTTTAAAAATTGCATGGTAAATTAACAAAGAATGAAATGTTCTACAGTGTGACATAAAAAATCAATATGAAACTTATTTTAAGATAGATAACACAAACAAACTTTTTTCGGATATCGGCAATGTTCCTCAAAGATTTACATTCAAATTTCCTTCCTTCAGTGAATAGTGTCTACCTAATATAATGGGAGAATTTAATAATGATTGGTCATAAGATTACAAAAAAATATACAAAATTTTGTATGGAATTATATAGAAAGCAAAACAAATTCTTAAATCTAAGTACCAAAGAAAATCTACAATATCTTTATATTTTAAGTATTTATTATTTATGACATTTTAAATTAAAATCAATCATAAATTATGTATCAATCCATGCATCTTTTTTTGTATAAAGTACCCTTGAGGAGTAATTGTCTTATTTTTCAGGGTTAGGGTTGATGTGATCAATCAATTGGCTTGCGTCAATAATTTGCCAAAGGCGTTTATGCATTAAATTATCAAGCAAGCCAATCGATTGATCATCGTCATGATATTGAACAAGAGGCCCAGGGGCCACATCGGTCACCTGAGTAACTTGGGTGATGCAGTTCTTTATCAGATTTCCCTCTTGCTATACCTATCATGCCCCCTTCCTGCTTCCCTTTAATGACTTTAATAATTTAAAATTTACCTTACCCTAGGATGCTTCCATATCAGTTTCATCCTTCATGGCCACGTGGTTCTTAATCAGAGGATTCTTAAAAGATTGTTCCTAAATATATCCATGTAAAACTTGGATTCCCTATTGTGGCTCTGCCCTAATTTAATATCTACACTACCCAAGGGTGCTGCCATATAAGTTTCAGTTTTCCTGGCCCAGTGGTTCTTGATAAAAAAGATTTTTAAAGATTTGTACTGCATGTGTATATCCCCATGTAAAACTTGGATTCCCTATCGTGGCCCCGCCCTACCACTGGGGATCATGATTTTTTACAACTTAACATCTACACTACCCAAGGATGCTTCCACATAAGTTTCAGCTTTCTTGGCCCACTGCCTCTTGAGAAGAAGATTTTTAAAGATTTGTTCTATATATTTCTGTGTTAAACTTGGATTACCTATTGTGGCCCATCTTACCCCGGGGGTCATGATTTTAACAATTTGTTATCTACACTACCCAAGGATGCTTCCACATAGGTTTCAGCTTTCCTGGCCAAGTGGTTCTTAAGAAGAAGATTTATTAAATGACCCCTCCTTTTTTATTTTCTTGATCATCTGCCCTTGTAAGGAAACTAGGCATTTCATTTTAACAATTTAAACTCCCCTTCACCCAAGGAAGCTTTGTACAAGTTTCGTTAAAATTGGCCCATTGGTTCTTGAGAAGAAATGGAAAATGTGAAAAGTGTACAGACAGACGGACAGCTAGACAGACGGATGGATGACGGACAAAATGTGATCAGAAAAGCTCATTTGAGCCTTCGGCTCAGGTGAGCTAAACATCTGACAGTTATTAATTGTATTTTCAACATATTTATTCCGCCAATCCACAGGGTACAGACCCCACTTTTTGTCTCTTATTTGTTCCGCCCTGCACTTGATTTTTTTAGCCACACATATCGATGACCAAGTACATTGATGGAGACATAAAGTACATTGACTATTTGTATTTTATCTTGAACAAAGACATTGGAAATGTAAATATATTTCCATGAAGCGTTCTTAAATGTAAGAAAAAATTAATTTAAAATCTGAATTCATTTAAATGTTATTAAAACTTTAAAGTTTTTGGCGGATTTGATTGAATTGACGCATCCTTGCTTTTTCACAAATTTTAACTTTATCATCAATCCTTAGGAAAAGTTGCAATCTTTTTGCGTATAAATGAACAATATTAAAACTTAAATCCACAAAAATAATTTTATTAAGAGTAGAAATATTAGAAAGCAAAAATCCTTTACAAGTATCGTCATTCCGTTGTGTACAGAGTTTAGCACATCAAGCACACTCGTGTTATGTACACAGTTTTTGTAAAAAGGGCCCGAGTTCTGTTATTGTCTGATGTTTACGATTCACTGGATGCGTTCAATCGCCAAAGTCTGCTTACTACAACTGCACGGACTGGCAATATATTGTATGTTAGTTTTCCTTTTGAACATTTCTACTATGAATTATCTGGATTATACATGTAGTATTAATATTTTTCATTAATATACAACAAGTTTGCCTCTTTCCTAAGGATTTAGAATAAAGTTAAAATTTGAGAAAGTGCAAGGATGTGTCAATCAAACCCGCCAAAAAATTCAAATTTTAATAACTTTATAATGAAATAAGATTTTTGATTAATTTTTGTGCGAAATACTTTTAGAATATACGAGGGTTGATCCAAAAGTAATGTCACAACTTCGATAAAATTTCTCCTAGTCGACGTAAATTAACAAAATTTTACATGATGAAAGCTATGTTTATTTTAAATCAGTCCTGAAAAATTCAAATAGAAATGATGTATACTTTTCAAAATATCGAATTAAACACAAAGTGCGATTGTGGTAGTCGCCGCACCTAAATAACGTCATAAAACGGAGATACGACGTCACAAACTTTTAAAAACGCCTTCCCATCGTTTTATTAAAAAAATTGATATTTACAAAACATTCACATATTTTATATTCTTTAAGAACAATTGGCACCTATTGTACACTTTATCTATAATTTAATCCTTCATCAAAATTCTTTGAACAATACCATAACTGTCCATAAGACAATCTTAAAAGTGTCTCATATCACTCAAACTGCCACTAATCCCTTTAACGACAACGTCGACGCCATTGAACGTTTCCAACCGACCTCCTATCTTTCGGTATTTCTGTCCCCAAATGATCATTTATTTACCTATTACCTTCCCAAAATCTCTCAAATCATCTATGAACAAGTCTCTCGTTAACAATCTTTCCTCTGTGAGTTTGATTTACCATCATAACTGTTTCTACTTGTAATTTCCCGATTTTGAAGGAAAAATACATAACAACTCGTTTCGGTGTTTTATTCCATTTCGACATTTCTTTTCTGCAATACATCAGATATAAACAATACTGTTTATGATGAAAAAAAAAACAATGCTGCAATTTAATTTTTAAGTAAAGATTAGAAAATGTCGTAAATTTTGTTTTTTTTTTAAATATTGGACGATTAGACAACTTTTTAGATGCTTTTTTAAATGTGCTTGTCTTTTTTTTTTATTCTAACACTATTAACTTTAAAACGTGACGTTTAGTTGTGACGAGGCGACACCCCCTATGTTTAATGTTTTAAACATCCATAAAATGAATTCAATTTAACATTATTAAATGAAATTTTCAATTTTGATTAAATTTATGTTTAATCATCTTTTGGTGCATTATATTTGATAATATGACGCCAAATATTAAAGATATGGACACAGTGACATTATTTTTGGATCAACCCTCGTATAAGTCGTAATATTATAGAGAAAAATATTAACTTCAAATCTGTTTCCAAGTACCTTTAAATCCAACTAAGAAAATTGGGCAGGATAGAATAAATTAAGAGAAATCTGTCAGACTTAGTTAGGAGAATTTATCATGTATGAACTTGCCTGTGACAAAGAAAGTGTAATTTGATAATTTTTCTTCCATTTGCTGAATTCATCTGAAATTTAGGGGAAAAAATGATATCATTAAAAAACACTGGCTAAAATTTGAATCTATGCACAAATAAAATGATCACTTAAATAATCAATCATTATTGAAATCACCACTAACTTAGAGACTACTTAGACTCGTAAAGCTATTTATATTCCAATTAATTGCTTGGACCCTATATCATCGAGGTTAAACCGATGCCATTGGCAAAAGTCAGGTTACGCATGCGCGAGAATGCTAGAGAGTTTGCCCTTTAGACAGCTTGCACGTAGAATAATTCGCCCTATCCGAATTAGAATATGCCATTCATTGGCAAATCTCGCTTGTAAATTAATTTGCATAACGGCTTTATACATTCATTGGCGAATGCGAATTTCTTTATTATACATATTTATACTTTATCTACAAACCAAACATTGATTCTTTGGCACAAGCATTTTTAGGGAGAACTTGTCGTATATACATGTAACTTAACAACTTGAACTTATATTTATCTTGCTTTTTTTTTAAATTCCGCTTATTTTGAAATAAAAATAAATCCCCAGTTTTTGACTCTCATATTCTTTGCATTAAAATAAGGGTTATATTGAAATCGGCTATATTAAAATTTCGCTTATATTAAAGCCACTGATCGGTCCCCACAGGTGATAATGAGTTGTTTTCATAACGGTTATACTGAAGTACTCCCTGGCGGCTGTCGTTACGTTTGGTGACAGAAATCATGCCTTACTGACCAGTTGATATAAAAAGGTGTGAATAATTAAGTTTTCACCGTATGTGTTTTTATACTGCATGCATTTACGAAATATAATTATTTACTGCTAAATTCTGTCTCTGTGTTTTCATGTATATAATAGGGAAGTATTCAGGCTAAAGGCAACATAGTAAACCCAATAGATCTAGATTAAATACGTACTGTCAATGGCTAATGATAAACCTAAATTCGAAATAGCTAAGAGATCAACCGGTCGGGAGTACACTTACGATGAAATACATGTGTGCAGCGTTTAGCAGTACTCAACAGTTTGACATCGGTGATTTTACTAGACCAATGAAATTTATCAAACACTAATGTAAATCAGATAATAGTTAAACAATGCAGTGTGGCATTCATTTGTCGGTTGCCAACATTGTAAAAAAAATCAAAATTTCACCATGTTCGCAAGACTCAAACCTTCAATGATGGCAATCAAACGCAGTTCATTTTATATTTAATCATATTCTTAAATTTACTCTGAGTACAATATATATTTTTTTCTATTTCAAAATATTGAATGATACTTTATAGACCCTTTTATATTCTAGCAAGTTCTCATTTTGTCTAGAATATTGAACAACAATAGCAAAATCGGGTGACTTCCATAATAAGTATTATAAGGTAGTTATTTTTGTTATGTGCAAGAAAAAGGTCTAAAATTATTGTGTAAACTTTGAAATTCAACATTTAATGAAGAAAAAAGGTTTGGTTTTTTTCAAATTGTTCAGATATGTATGCTTTACATATTTACTCCAAGAAAAGAATTCCGTATCAAATATTGGCATGTATATCCATGCACAAAGTAACGAGAGAAACAATTTTATTTTAGTTGATAAGAAGCACATAGAATTTAAAATGAGAAAAAAAAAATATATTTATACATTGATAATAAAACTGCTTTTTGCTGTTAGGAAATAAATGTAATTCACATTTTTACCCAGTCAAATGCTTGGTTGCTCCCTTCGCTATCCTAGTTAAATTCATCTTATGAAAAAACGTTTTATACAGGGTAGTGACTGTTCCCTCACCAAACGTCATACTTGAAGAGAAAGTCAGTTTTGTGTACATGCATGTACTATGGTAAACTATATTTAACTTTACCTTATTTTTGATAAAGATTCACATGATATACAATTTATCAGTCCATCAAGTTAAATTTGAAAAAATAATTAATAAATGTAATATTTTCATGTATTTACCCAGATAGAAATTCCTATACCAACTCTGGGCTATCTGGAAGGTCCTGGATATATGACGTCATGTGACCTTTGCAAAACTGCCAGGGTACAGCTGTACTGTGACATTTGTGACGTCAACCTCTGTCAATCGTCTTTTGGGAAAATGTTACATCAGAACTGACCAAGCCACACACAGTTGTACGGGTCAGTCAGAGAAAAACCCCTACAGACTTCCCAAAGTGCTTTGTCCATAAAGAAAAGTTATGTGAACTTCTCTGCAAGGATTGTTTCGTCACTGTTTGTAATGAATGTATTGCATCTAAACACAAGCCACACCGATTTCAAACATTAAACACTGTTTAGACATTTTCAAGTCTGAATCTGAAGATTTTTATAAGCATGAACAATACGTTATTCCAAGGCATTATCAGGGCATGCAAATTATTTATTCATGACATAAATATGACGTCAACGTCCGGTGATTTTGGTACTCTATTTTCATTACTGAGGTACTGTTGATGGTGTGTATCTGTATCATTTTGTGAGCCCTAGCAGATTCCATTGAAATGAAGTGATATTCTGTCTTCCTTCTGGTTTTCGTTTTGGGAAAAAAATTCACGTTGTCAGCAAATTTGAGATTATCCAGCAATGTCCACTGAAATAAATAGAGTTCCTCTTATTTTGTATTGTTTTATGGACTTTGAGATTGAATACTGTTCGTTATCCCCGTATCCTTCATAGTATAATGTTACAACTACTTAAGACCGCGTAAGGTCATAAACAGATCCATTTCAGATATAAAAGCAGTTACATGTAGTATCAAGTTACATGACCTAGAGGCAGGTTTCCTCTCTAGTCTTATAACTTAAGAAAAATCAATGAGCTTCAAAAAAGCTTCAAAATAAAACATAAAAAAAAATCAATGAGACACTATTATATCTGTTGTCACCTTAGAAGCTGATTTCTTTAACTCTGTGCACAAAAACATGGCGTTTAAAAAAACCCACACGTGATAGTTGTAGGATCATCTGAAGAAGAAGAAGACAGGGGTACTGAAGGGTATCATCTAAAGAAGAAAAAGACAGGGTACTGAAGGGTACCTTAATGACTATCACCTTTCCTCTTTCTTCTTGTCTTTGACTCTGTTATATAGTTTACCATTACTAACGGGGACGCCACTTCACAGTTGATGCGGTGTACATCAAATTAGACGAAATTTTCGTATATTACTTTTTTTGTAATCAGAAACACGAACAAGACTGCCGAATCAATTAGAGTTATTATGTAAATCACTAAAATTAAAATATTTTATTTGCAAAAATCAAAATAATGTTTACTTTTAATAAATTTGAACAAAAATAAATCACAAAACTCATAAAAATGCTGCTTACTGTGTACATTTTTTGTATTAATATGAAGAAGAATGTATCCAAAATTTTATACATGTTTGAGAATAAACGCACTTGCAGTGGCCTTCAACTCGACTTTTAGGAAGATCGAAACGTATTATAAATTATCAAAGTTCATTTTCATTGATTTCTTTTGTCGGTTCGATATACCAGTGAGCCTGAATTAAACATACTATAATGTCTGACACATATGTTCCATACTAGTATTTAGATATTTTACTTTAAAAAGACGTTAATGATTACCTTACTGCAAATGCTTATGTTAAAAATGATGACTTTAACTATTCAATCATCATCTGCAGTAATATAATTATATCTTCATTACTTGCACACGGGATTTATATCTCTCAGTTGATTTGATACGCAAGGGCATGCTCAATGTACGTATGTGCAATACTAAACCAGGGAAAATTATTCACAAATAAGTTGATAAAACAAGAGGATCAGCATTTTCGTTTAAAGTCATCATTGCGAAAGTTATATGGTCGATACAATGGCATTGCCAGCTAAAACATTTTATGACTGAGTCAAATGCAATGCCGACTGACGTTTTTTATACTATTGGACTTTTACGAGAAGCACAGACTTTTACAGTTGACCGTTTACTTGGACATTTAAACATTCACATACGGAGGTACATGGTGGTCATGGTAATGATGTTAGGATCATTTGTATGTGAAGGCCTGGATTTGAGGGTAGGATGTAGGTTGTCGTTGTCTTCAAAGACAGCTTATCTGTGCTTTGAAATACCCCTTTATTTGCTTTAAATTAATTGTTGAGCTAAATTTTTATCGTAAAAGAGTTCCCGTACACTGTCCTGGTGAGAGTAATGCGTCAACCGTAAAAGTCAGCGCTTCCCGTAAAAGTCCATTAATTTTTGTTAGATTATTATTTATACACTGAATTGTAGAGGAATGTTTTGTTATTTCCTGATCATGATAATGAGCACACGGTGGGTGAGACCGGTTAGCAGGGGATGATCACGTCTCCATGGACTGCTCTGCATTTGAGAATGATATAAGTTTGTTATCTTATTTTGGATTCATCTGATTAAAATTGTCTCAATGTCCCTCAAAGTCCTATATGTGCATTGGACAGGCTCATATAAATAGATAAAAAAATGATTACAGTCATCATCGTCATATGCACATCAAAAAACAAATATTTAAATCACTGTACAAATACATACGAGTTTCAACAGTATAATAACAGGTAGGACCAAAGGACGTTATAAACTATATAAAACACCACTAAATATAAGAACTACTGTAAAGGTATTTATTTACCAAAATCAAATTAAAGCTTTTGGTTTGCTTTTTAGGGTTTTATTTTTTGCTTTTTTTATTTGAAGATTATATTTTTCATTTATGATGACGTTGGTGAAGTATCTATTTTGATTTAAAAGTTTAACAACTTATGTCTTTACAATTGCTCTCAGCAGATAAACGTAAAAAAAGAACTGTTTACGTGAAACGTGTCTCTCTGAGTTGTTTTACTGACATGTGATGAATTACTTAAAGTTTTTTTTTGTCTTAAATTAGCAAAAAGCCATGGATCCACAAACTAGTACCCAAGAAATTCTGCAATGTGTAAATTGTAGTTCCTTTGAGGTAAAGGTTCTCTGTGCGCTTTGTGATGTTAACCTTCGTAGAACATGCATTGGGACACATGTCTTATCAGATGTCACCCGGTGTCATACGTTCGTGGGTTTTTATTTACGAAGTGAAGCTACCATTTTCCCTCGTTGTCCTTCCCACCAAAAGTAAACTTGTGAACTTCACTGCAAAAAATGCAACCTTCCAGTTTGTATAGAATGCACAATTTCAGAGAAACACGAGAATCATACATTTTTAAATATTTTTGATATTTTTAAGAAAAAGCAATCACGATTTAAATCAGACTTGGAAAAACTGAAGAAGGATTTTGCTGAAAAGTATAAAATTCTTCTCTCTGACGTAGAAAATCAAGAGTAATCAAGAGTCTGAAATTGAGGTGGATTTCAAGAATCTTAAAACAGATATTTCTAATAAAAAAAGAAGTGGTACAACGCCATCGAAAGACACTTCAATAACCTTAATTCTGAAATAGCAAACCTGGAAAACAAACACAGAGATGAAATGAAAAGATGCAAGGCCAAAATAAATCAGAATATTCAAAAAGTGGAACAAAATATGGAACAAATAAATAGCATCCTTAAATCAAATAATATTTCTTCATCTCTAAAATTTCAAACAGACTTTGAAATGGAGATTATTCCTCAAGTAGAAATACGTTTACCAACCTTTTCCCCGCTTCGAGTTCCAGAGGAGCTAGTTTCTATGTCGATTGGGTCGCTAACATTTGATGGGGATAAAACAACACCAAGAAATATCAAACCGATTCTTCCACAACCTGGGATTATCGCCAGCGTAGCTACACAATATACCTCTAATCTTTACAACGTAGTAGGCTATAGTAAAAAATAAAAATCTGGACAAGCGGAGATGACTGCTCTATAAAACTATTTCATTCTGATCAGAGAACACCTTTGAAGTCATTCAGAACATTGTCCGGGCATCGTCCAGAAAGCATAGCAATTACAAGAGGCCCAGGGGCCACAGCGCTCACCTGAGCACATCGGGCTTGAATTTAACCCCCCTCCTTTCCAGGCCTTCATCATTTGAAAAAACTAGAATCTACACCACCTGAGGATGATTCCATATAAATATCACTAATCATAGCTTTGAAGTACTTGAAAAGAAGATTTTAAAAGGTTTCCCTATATATCCCTATGTAAAACTTGGGACGACCATTTTGGCCATACCCTAGCCCCTGGGGTCATGATTTGAATACTTGAATCTACACTACCTCAGGATGATTCCACATGAGTTTTATCTTTCCTGGCCCAGTGGTTCTTGAGAAGTATTTTTAGAGATATTTCCTATATATTCCTATGTAAAACTTGGCTCGGCCATTTTGGCCCCACCCTTGCCCCGGGGGTCATGATTTGAACAAACTTGAATCTGCACTACCTGAGGATGATTCCACATGAGTTTCATCTTTCCTGGCCCAGTTGTTCTTGAGAAGGATTTTTAGAGATATTTCCTATATATTCCTATGTAAAACTTGGCTCGGCCATTTTGGCCCCACCCTTTCCCCGGGGGTCATGATTTGAACAAACTTGAATCTGCACTACCTAAGGATGATTCCACATGAGTTTCATCTTTCCTGGCCCAGTTGTTCTTGAGAAGAAGATTTTTAAAGATTTTTCCTATATATTCCTATGTAAAACTTGGCTCGGCCATTTTGGCTCCATCCTTGCCCCGGGGGTCATGATTTGAACAAACTTGAATCTGCACTACCTGAGGATGATTTTACATGAGTTTCATCTTTCCTGGCCCAGTGGTTCTTAAGAAGAAGATTTTTAAAGATTTTTCCTATATATTCCTATGTAAAATTTGGTTTGGCCATTTTGGCCCCACCCTTGCCCCGGGGGTCATGATTTGAAGAAACTTGAATCTACAGTACCTAAGGATGATTCAACTTGAGTTTCATCTTTCCTGTCCTAGTGGTTCTTGAGAAGAAGATTTTTAAAGATTTTTCCTATATATTCCTATGTAAAACTAGGGTCGGCCATTTTGGCCACACCCTTGCCCCGGGGGTCATGATTTGAACAAACTTGAGTCTACACTACCTGAGGATGCTTTCACATGAGTTTCATCTTTCCTGGCCCAGCGGTTCTGGAGAAGAAGATTTTTTAAAAATGCCATTAATTTTTAACAAATTCATGATTATCTCCCCTTGGAAAAGGGCGTGGCCCTTCATTTGAACAAACTTGAATTCCCTTCACCCAAGGATACTTTTTGCCAAGTTTGGTTGAAATTGGCCCAGTGGTTCTTGAGAAGAAGATGAAAATGTGAAAAGTTTACAACGACAACGACAACGACAACGACAACAACGACGACAGACAACGGACAAATTTTGATCAGAAAAGCTCACTTGAGCCTTCGGCTCAGGTGAGCTAATAAGTACTGGACATTTACTGATTATCATGAAAGATCTGTAAATATTCTAAAAGATGAAGAAAATTATCATGTAATCAGACTAGAAAACTTGATACCTCATGGCGTCTGCAAAAACCTCCTCTGGTCATTTCCTTGTTATAATGATCAGCACTGACTATAAACAGTCAAAAGTTGTCTGTTACGTGGATTTCAAAGAGAAACAAACCATTTTTGCTTATAAGGGTATCCCTCCATTTTCTTCGGGAGATTTTAGGGATATATCACTGAGAACAGGAATCTGGATATCTGCGTATCAGACCATGGACAGGGGGTTCAGGTAACCCGACTTAGCTATGTAATTGTGCCATTTAAACGCAATTAATTGGTGTTTTTGAACGTATTTTTTTGCATTATTATTCATAATTTATCTAGAAATTAAATATAATGAATTTTCTACATTGTTTGAACTTTCGTATGATGTGTGTGTTATGTCATTCTGAATAGTTTGTTTTAAGGGTCGAAGTTGTGCTAAAATTGGATACGAGGTTTTCCCTTTTATGCATGGCACTGTAATTTTGTCTCCGCGACGTTGATAGCGTCATTTTGATTGGATTTCCGGGAGACGATTTTCAAGGAATTAACGACATTGACCTATCACAGGAAAGCTTACATTTTGAAGATGAACATTGCTATTGTTGCATGTGCAGAAGTTTATGTATATTCGTTTCAAAGGAAAGAGGTCAATTTTACTACGGTAAGTAATCGAAATATTTTTATGCAACATACACTATTAGAAAGCTGAGAAAATTTCCTATCAGAATATTTGGTTCTGTAATCATCTCGGAAAATAATT